GTTTTTTTATGAGGAAGTATTTTAGTAAATCATTTTATATGCAGTGGCAGCAGTCATAGAAGGATTCCACAAAAGCAAGTTGAGTATTTCTCACGAATTTATTTCCATGCCATTTAGACAGCTTCTTTGCCTCATATATTCTGCTTGAAACAGATCGTGTCAAATCTAACCTGATCTATAACATGCAAAAACAAAAATAAAATTATCGAACAATGATAAAATAACTGAATTAAGCCGAACCAGTTTTGTTGACCAGTTGTAGGACAAAAAGAAAATATGAAGTCACATGATCTGGTTTTAGATTCGTTCCAAGCGCGCTGCTGTTTAAGATGCTGCCTGGAGTGATGGTGAGGATGTGGGTGGCTCCATTGGTCGTCGCAGCTTTCGGCGCTCGCTTGGCCACGGGAGGTAAGTTCTTGGTCGTGTGAGATGGTGTGTGTGGTCGTTCTCTTAGCAGGTATTACAGTTTTGATTATTCATATATACATTTATGCATGGCTGTGAGTATGTGTGTTTGTGCTTGCGTAAGAGAGGAGCTTGTGCGTGTACGATTGTGTATGTTTGTCTTTACAGTATATCCAATCTTCTATTTTCTTTGTATTTTGCATACATACAAATAATTATTCCAGGTGAGGTCCCTGTCGTGAGCTTCCAGGTGTCGGGCCAGGCCAGTGAGGAGTCGTCCCTTATTTGGAAAGGAAATGTCCCTGAAATGAAGGAGTTTTCCATCTGTTTGCGAGTGCGGATTTTGCAAGTGAGAGACTACGACGTTTTGGTTTCCTATTCGGTTCCGGACTTCGACAATGAGATGTATATAGGTAAGAATCGTCCATAATGATGCGTGGCTTTGCTTCGGGATGCTAACGGTTGTATACAGTGCACAAATATTTGATTATACATGTACTTACGGTCAGTTTATATCATGATAACTAGAATTAATGTTGAAGCATTTAACAGGACTGAATTACAACGATCAAGTTCTCCAGGCTGACTGTTGCAAGAGAAACGTATCCAAAAAAGTCCCAGTGAAAGTGTTACTTCGACAGTGGATGTCCTTTTGCTTAGTTATGGACATTACCTCCAACGCTTTCGTTGCCGTGATCGACAACAAGATCACTCGAGAGCAACTGCAAGGCGATATGTCCTCTGAGTATGTGAGAGTAAGAGGAGGAGGACTCTTCTATGTGGGGCAGGAGCAGGACCTTCACGGCGGAGGGCTGAATAAGCGGCAGAGTCTCCGGGCAGATCTGGCAGATTACATGGTTTTGGACAAAGCCCTGAGTGAAGATGCGATGAGGAGATTCACTCTCTGCCAGGATGTCGCAGAAATAGGGACGCCTATAATTCATATGAATAATGTGGAAGGGGACTTTGCTGTTGGCGAAGACATCACGGCCAACGCCACAGTGGTGCGCGAAGAAATGTGTTTATCCAAGGAAAGTTACACGATCTACTTCCCCGAAAAACGAACCTTCCTGCAGTCATCTCGCGTCTGCCATGCTGTTGCTGGACAAGTCTATATTCCCGAAGATGAAGAAACGAATTGGCAGTTATTCTACAGATCTCAGCCTTTTGAGGACGTCTGCAAAAGTGACAGCACAGATACGACATGGGTTGGTTCCAAATATGACGCCACTCAAAACATGTTAGTCAGTTACCGAACAAGACGCAGACTTAGTTTCTCAAAGTTCGTCTCGCAACCATCCAAGGAGAAAACGTGCGCGTCAATGTACACGAGTCTGAACGATGCCGAGTTCTGGTTTGGCAAATGGAAGCCCAAGGACTGCGACACCGTGATGTGCGTGTGTTGCCAAGTGACCAAAGTCCATCTCATGCGGTTGCGAGGACTTTGCTCGCGGAGTCTCTTCGATGGCAGTTACTTCCTCTACGGTGAAGTGAACGGCAAGCCAGTGTTCAACGGCCTCCGATACTCCATCATCCAGTGGGTGACTGCCCCGGACGACCCCGCCACGGGCCACTGGGAACTGTCTGTCGTGGGCCAGAGGGAGACTCGGGGGCGCATGAAGGTGACATCCAAAGCAGAATATCCGATGGGCATCAAGGAGTGGATCCTCGAAGGGGATGAGTGTCCTTCGACCACAACCAAATTGGCCATCACCACCTGTGGCCCTGGAGAGTACACCTGCAGGGACGGCACCTGCGTGGCCATCTCCCACAGGTGCGACCTTGCCCTCCACTGCCCCGATGGCTCAGACGAGAGTGGCTGCGAAAGCCTTGTGCTCCCCCCGGGATACATGAGCAACATCCCGCCCCCCAAGACGGACGACAGCCCCGTCCAGGTTCTGATGACGGTGGTGCTCGGCCCCATCAGAGCCTTCGAAATCATCAAGTTCAAGATGACGCTGGACATGACGGTCATCTTCACCTGGTATGATTCTCGGATAAAATTCCAGAATCTCAAGGTTAGTGCATTACAGTATATCATTAAAACAGGCCCTTAATAGAAGGGCCTGTGATTTCTATTGTTATTTCCTGTAATAGTACATTTGCTCTAAAAAAATATATTGGTTCCAGTGCTTAGTCTCGTTACCAAATTAAAACAAAGTCTTTGGCTTTATGTTGACAGTTAAGATATATGTTGAATTGCGAACTGTGAGATATCAATGCCGAAGGCCATCAGCTGATCAGCTAAAATATAAACAAAATTGATAGATACTAGACGTTTCACGGTGCACTTTTCTCACCCTACCTCGCCCATAGGGTAAGGAAGACCTGAACAAAATCGACACCGGACTCGACGTTCCCTGGACGCCTCGCGTGGGTTACTTCGGGGCTGGGAATGCCTCGAGTGACGTCACCCTGAGGTACCTGGAACTCATGGCGCAGAAGAAGTCAAACCCTCTGCCCGACGATGTCCAGAACGTCAGCGAGGGTTTGTGGTTTCTTCCCAGTTCAGTCTGTTTCTTACATGTATAATGTACGTGTGAATAAAAATAATAATGAAGAATAAAAAAAGAGAAGCAAAAATGTATATGTGTGTGTGTGTGTATATCTTTCGACTTCACAGACGAGATCTATCTGGGATCCGAGAATCCGTTGTTGCTGAAGCAGAGAGCCACCATAGAAGTTACGTGCGAGTTTGACCTCAGTTTCTATCCTTTCGACACTCAGCGGTGCTTGATAGTACGTAAAAATACTTTGTAAACTGTAAAATTACTTTGTATCTTTTTGTTATGTAAATGCATGGAACTAAATAAGTTTTACTCCTTCGTCTCAGTAAAATTACTTAGTATCTTTTAATAATATAAATGCATAGAACTAAATAAGCTTTACTCCGTCTCTGTAAAATTATTTAGTATCTTTTAATAATGTAGATGCATAGAACTAAATAAGCTTTACTCCTTCGCCTCTGTAAAATTACTCTATCTTTTAGTAATATAAATCCATGGAACTATATAGGTTTTACTTCTTCACTTGCACATGATCCTACAGTTTTGTAAACCATGAAGCTTACTTTTTTACCTTCCCCTTTTTTACTTTTCTTTCCCCAATCTTCTACAGGAGGCGGTGTTGGAAGGAGTCACGGCCCAGTACGTTGTTTTGACCAAGGAAGGGTCAGGAGTCTCTTACCGGGGTGAACGAAGGTTACTGGAGTACCAGGTGTGAATCGCTTTTCATCCCTACGTTATCTCTATTCCTAAATTGACCCTTGAACTATATCTAACCCTTCTGGAATGATATTGTGTTTTATTTTTGCTGTTCACTATAAGCGTCGAAAAAAATATGTCTGATAGAAGTGATCACTCTAAGAACTCCTGTCGTCCATGCTCTACTTAGGTCAACGCTCTAGAAATGGGTTTCTTTTGTGTCCACCATGTCTTTTTCTTCTTTTCTTTTTTTATTTCCATTCGCCCGGCAATGCTTTTTGAATTATTATTACCAAAGCCATCTCTGATGCGGCGATCCATATGTGTAATGGACATAATTTGCCATTTGGATAGGGGATAGAGCACGAAATGTATTTTTTCACATTCAGTTACAGGTACGCCTTTTTTTCCCGAAATATCTTCGAGAATATATACCGCTATTCCATAAGCATAATTCCTGAAAAAGGTTCTGTGTACTTCCCACCGCGTGAAAAATCTGGTTAGATATCTCGGTAACATACACAGAGCGGATATCCAGTTGATATACAAAATACACTTAAGGAAGTCCCGGTAATATCATAGGCCCACTACGAATAAGCCCAAGTAAAGTTGTGCAGTAAAAAAACAACACACGCAACAGTCCCTGTGATTCATTCATAGGCGCCCGTGATTACCACAGATGATAGAAAAAATAACGCCAGGGAAATGTGTGTGATTATATACATTTGTATTACCATAGTTTCGTGTATCATGCGAGACCGTAATTCATACAACGGTGTTTAGATTTATTGATAAAATAAAACCAATGAAATCATCTGATATGACTTTCTAAAGCCATAATTTTCATATGACATAGGCAATATTGTTAGAAGAGCATTGATTGTGTGTCTTCACACAACCATGGTGAATGTTTACCTAAATTTTACACTGTATAAATATTTGTATATATAAATATATATATATATAAATAAATATAATATATATATATTATATATAAAATACAAATATAACAAAATACTACACAATGCAATGTATTCATTTCTTATTACGAATTGATATATGTAAACTACATGTTGTGGACGCCTTGGTGCTATCATCAGACTCTACATTGTGCTTAGTGAATCCATACATCACTGTACAGAAGTATGATTAATGAAAGGAAAAGGGCATTGTGAGTACACAGTAAAGAATAGATACCGTAAGTGTTACGTTAGATCTAGATCTGATGCCTTGTTTATGCGAAGAAAGCATTAAGAAGAAACTATCTGCGTATTGAATGTTGGACAAATTGTATTCTTTACCAAAATCCTGATTAATCCAAAATTCATGGTATTCATTTGTTTCTAAAGAGGGACGTTAGTATGACAGTAAGCCAATATCAATGAATCCAAG